ATCACGTATCCACAGTACAGATAAAGACACGTGGCCGACACAACCAAGTGAGCACTGTCAGCATTACACTGCAGAATCTACATTTTTAGCTCCAAGAGTTACCACACACTCACTTGTTTTTTCCTCAACTCCCACAAACAACAAAACAAAAACTTAGGAAAACCAAATTAACAATAAATCCTGCTCTCATTCTCTCTCTCTCTCTCCACCGCCAGCCACTACTTCCCACTTCCTCAAAACAAATAAAAAAGTACTCTTTTTTGCTTTTTCAGATACCCTTTTGATTTCTTCTTAATTTTCCATTCAAGAATCTCGGTTATCTCAGTTATATCAGTTAATAGCATGGTTTCATTGGAAGCTATACGTAGTGTTGCTTATGTGTTATTGTTTGGTGTTTCTTTGGTTTTGGCTGGTGATATAGTTCATCATGATGATGTTGCTCCCACAAGGCCTGGCTGTGAGAACAACTTTGTTCTGGTACTAAATTCTTTATTCTTCAGATCAGTTGCATAGCTAGTTCTAAAAAAAATGTTAACTTTTTGTTGTTTTGATCTTGGTTTTGATTCTTTCTTGCTTAGAATATGTTGGAACAGTGAAGAGATTAGGAAAACATAGAAGAAGATACAATCTTTTTTTGAGGAAATAAAAATTGGAGAGTTGGGTGGGATTAATTAATTTAGAATTTTTTAGGTGGTTGATTTGAGATTTTGTTAAGAGTGGTTTGGATTTCCTTTGGATTTATGTTACTAATATAAGCATTTATAAAAAAACATTTATGAGACTATTTGGAACAGTTTATAAAAACAGTTGTTTTCAGCTTATTATAATAGTTTATGAATACAGCTTATTATAATAGTTTATGAATACAGCTTATAGGCTATATGAAAATAATTTTTTATGGTAAAGAGATAGTTTATACATAAGCCCTTATCCTAGATGTGTTTATGTGCTAAAAGCAAAAATCTGCAGATGTATTGGTTTATGGTTTCTTGATTTTGAAGTAAACTTCTATGCAATGTTGTCTTTTGCATATAGCCAAATATGCAAAAGATTTGTTCTCTTTTGGTGTTTTCCTTGACAGTTTTGAATGGTTTATTCGCTTTTGTTAGGTGAAAGTTCCAACTTGGATCGATGGTGTGGAGAACGATGAGTATGTTGGTGTCGGTGCAAGATTCGGTCCTACATTAGAATCCAAAGAAAAACATGCCACTCATACCAGAGTTGTCATGGCTGATCCTCCTGATTGTTGTAGCAAACCTAAGAATAAGGTATTTCGAGTTCACTTTTAAACTATGGAACTTACCGAATGCAACTTTACTTGATTGGGAAGCGTAATTGTCAAGATTGAAAGCTTTATTGTGTGAATGTATTTATTGATCGGTTGTTTATTTGTGTTGATTTTTTACTATTGTTAGCTCACCAGTGAGATCATTTTGGTGCACCGAGGAAAATGTAGCTTCACAACCAAGGCAAATATAGCTGATGAAGCCGGTGCTTCAGCCATTATCATTATAAACAATCGTACAGGTGTTTTTTTTCGGTTTTTGTTTATTATTTGTTATTAATGAAAACAAAATTTGAAATAATTGCAGTACATATTTTTTCATGCTAAGCAACTATTTCTTCTTGTTACTGTACAGAACTTTTCAAGATGGTTTGTGAGGTAAATGAAACTGATGTTGATATTGGAATTCCTGCTGTTATGCTTCCACAAGATGCTGGCTTAAACTTGGAAAGACACATACAAAATAAATCGATAGGTATGTGTATGCCGACTTTCTTGGAAGTGTCGCTTATGTTGTAATTACTTGCTGTTTTTCTTTGGCGTAGAACAATTTAATTATTGAAATGTCTACTTTATGTTTCGATATCTGATATATATAGTTTTTGTGCTATTGCATGTACACTTCTTGCTCTTAAGTGGCCATACAGTTATACTCTCCACTGCGTCCATTGGTTGATGTTGCGGAAGTGTTTTTATGGCTTATGGCTGTTGGTACCATTTTATGTGCTTCTTATTGGTCTGCTTGGACTGCGAGAGAAGCCGTTATTGAGCAAGACAAGCTTTTAAAGGTAACCGAGTTTTTTTTCTCTGTAAAGGAATATTTTTGCTCATATTTATGAATTTGTTAATTCTGTGTGTGTGGATAACTTTTGTGCTCGCAGGATGCTTCAGAAGAATATGTTGCAGAAAGTGTTGGTTCTCGTGGTTACGTGGAAATCAGTACTACAGCAGCGATTTTATTCGTTGTGCTTGCTTCTTGTTTCTTGGTTATGCTGTACAAATTAATGTCGTTATGGTTTGTTGAAGTTCTGGTAGTTCTATTTTGCATTGGCGGGATAGAGGTGAGTTATTCTCGTCTCGCCTTTATTCGTGTCTGACTAGACCTCATCCTTCACTCTAATCTTTGTATTTTCGGATGCTTTCAGGGACTGCAAACTTGTTCGGTGGCTCTATTATCATGGTAAGTCTTTTATTGTTGAAGTTTGTTGTTGAGTACATGTTTTTCCTATTATATTATATCATTATGTAATTAACAGAAAAGTTATTATAGTTTCAGATGGTTTCGACATCCTGCGCAAACATATGTGAAGATACCGTTCTTTGGAGCTGTTCCATATCTGACACTTACTATTACTCCCTTCTGCATAGTGTTTGCGGTTGTTTGGGCAGCTAAACGTCATGCGCCGTATGCGTGGATTGGTCAAGATATTCTTGTAAGAATAGTTTTATTAATGTCACTTTATCTTTTACCTATAAAACATTCCTTGAATTTTAACATTGTTTTCTATATTTCTTATGATTGTTATTCAGGGTATCGCGTTGATAATTACAGTTCTTCAAATTGTTCGCATTCCAAATCTCAAGGTATGATTCTAAAGTCACCTTGCCCCATATTTATAAACAGTCACCGACGGAATAATGAAGAGTAGAGATAGCTTTTTTTGTATACTAATGGATTTTTATACGAAAGACACCGACATATAGTTCTGTGTATGTATCAGGTTGGGACTGTTCTTCTAAGTTGTGCTTTCCTATATGACATCTTATGGGTCTTTGTCTCTAAATGGTGGTTCCATGAGAGTGTGATGATAGTGGTAAGTGTTTTGAATAAAACTCTCTTCTTTATTGTTCTCTACAATGCTTGATTTTGGCTTCATAAACATGATGTTGCCTTCCCCCTTAAGATTGTATTGCATTTTCTGTGTTCAGGTAGCTCGAGGTGATAAGAGTGGAGAAGATGGTATTCCCATGCTTCTCAAATTACCGCGTTTATTTGATCCTTGGGGTGGTTATAGCATCATCGGTTTTGGGGACATAATCTTACCGGGACTTCTAGTAGCATTTTCACTAAGGTTGGTCATCTATTGATTATACAATTCATCTATTGATTAACTGCTCACAAACTTGATTATTCTATTTGGCAACTACCTTTACAGATATGATTGGTTGGCAAAGAAAAACCTTCGAGCCGGATACTTTGTGTGGGCTATGACTGCTTATGGTTTAGGTATAATATGCTTCATCCGGGGACAACTTTCATGACAGTGTGAATGTTTTGTTTCCTTATATTTCTATCTTCGCTTATGGAGGTGTTTACTAAAAAAAGTTGAAATAACGATGGAAATTTAGATATGGAAAACTATGAAATATGTCGCTAAGTGTTAGAGTCGTCAAATTTCATGACCAGTGTTCTTCCTTGTACTTTTATCTGCAGGTCTTCTCGTCACATATGTGGCTTTAAACTTGATGGATGGACATGGCCAGCCAGCTTTGCTCTATATAGTGCCGTTTACACTTGGTAAGTACAACCATCATGCTCATAAATATTTGGAGGTAACACAATGAAACTGGTTTATTTTCTGAAACATTGTTGTGTAATCATAATTGCAGGAACCTTTTTGTCACTGGGAAAGAAAAGAGGTGATCTGAAGATTTTGTGGACAAGAGGAGAACCAGAAAGGCCTTGTCCTCATATTCAAGAAGTTAACCAACCAATCAGTTAACCACCATTAATTTCCAACATAATTGTATCATAGCTATTAGTTTATATTAGGAGATTGTGTTAACATGTGTAACATTATTATAATAAAAATCCAGCCAAATGGTCCTACTGTGTGCTGTAACATTAATTTTCTTCTGAGATAGCAGATTGAAGTCAGAAGATTATTCAAGAGAATCCATATTCTGGTTTATGGGTTTGCTTGAATGAGTTTTCTCTATTGTTGAATCATAACTCCAATTGTAATGTAATATTATTGTGATGATTAGAGTATGCTTTTTATCTTGAGTCCAACTCATTCTTACAAACTCAGATTTTGAATTATAAGGTGAGACTCAACACTAATAAATACCTACATATAAAATAAAATCCACACATCCATGATCACAACTCCAACTTTTACATTGAAACTCCTATTTTTTGTTCAAATGCAGGAAAGGTAAACAGAATTCCATATACATGAAAATGAACTGCAAAAAAAAGAAACAACAACAGATTCCTAGGACACTTGTTTAAAGAATAACAAAAATAAAATATTTCACAATATCCGGAAAAAAAAAACCTGAGGAGCTTTGTTTCTTATTTTTTATTTTTAAGCCTTAATAAGCATCCTAAGGTTACTACTCATTAAAATTACTCTAAAACAAAAAATAAAAACAACTGACATGCAACAATTTTCTTGTGCTTGCCAGAATCTCTCAAAATTTTGAAGCCAATGGCCATCTGGGGAAGACTCATTTCCATTCTGAAAGTTCAGTCCTGAACATGGAAAGAGATGTCCAATAAGTTATTGTTAGAATTTAACATAATATCATAAGATGTTTTAACACAAATGGTTTCCGAAATTCAGGTAGAAAGCACATGATGGTTATGGAAGAAACATACATGCATGTCGCCTTAGACAACCATTCCCATTGGTGGTAGTTAAAAGCATTGTCGTCTTCCTTTCTTGTGTTGACGACAAAAAGTCTTTTATTCTCTCTGGCCAGTCGGAATTTAATCTGCGGGCAAAATCTTCCACTTCCCTGCATCACAAAATAACAACAAAATAAATTTTGGCAACCATCATCGAGGAGGCACTTCATGTAACCATCATAGAAACTTCTCTTTATATCAAAGAGAAATCTGTTTGCCTAAGATGAACTAGTGAAAAACAACACACAGGTAAATAGATAGTGTCGTGGATCAGAAAATAGACCCACCTGTCAATTTTTGCCTTTAATACCGGATCAATCTCATCATCCGTATCATCATCATCAAACTCAATCATAGGATCATCGTCTGTATGGTGTGAATTTGAGGTCTCACACGGTCTATCAGCTTCCGAACTATGGTGTCTGTTGTTATGACCGTTTACCTCCTCCTGCAAGAAGAAAGGCAACACAGTTAATAGTTGTTGATAGACCATAGACTATATGTTGATTCATCGTTGACATTGTGCCAAATGATTTAACAGTATATAAATAAAACAGCAGAACAGAACGTTCACAACTACCTTCTTTTCTGGTACAGATGCTTCCTTCAAAGAAGAATTCTTCTGTTGGTCTTTTTTCCTTCGATTCTTCTTTTTATTTTTAGAAGTTTTAATCCCCTTCTGATCTGTGACAAAATTCTTCATCTCCAGTTAGGAAGTCAAAAAGGAAGCTGAAGAAAAATATAAGGCTATAGCTCTCGGACAATTCAGACCCGAAAGATTCTCAATACTTTAATAGTGCAATTAGCGCATCTCAAAAATCAGACCAAATTTCTTATCCCAAATGATGAGACAATATAAGGGCACTAGCGCATCACTAAAGAGCTTTGGCACCACAAAAATGAAAGTTATATATAGAATTTAATCCAGTTTGTGAATAATTTTCTTTGTTCACTAATTACAATGATCTGAAACATTTATTAATATTAATACCTCAAATACTATACAACAATTTATTGGTCATAACCCTCTGAATTTGGCCCTGATAACCGAAGTTCAGCTGTAAATAAAATCAGGCCAAAAGGAACGTAAAGTTAGGCATGTTAAAAATACTTCTTAGAGCAACTTATCTGTAATTAAGTTAAAGAATAGTGAAATACTTGTCATATAGAAAAAGGGGACGGGTGTTTGCACCATCCTTGCCCGGTCTGTCATAACATTGTGTAGACTACTTGTTAAGATATGTATTAGATTTAAATTATAGTTTGTTGAGTAAATAAATATCTCTATGATTAGGTTTGTTGGTTTATCCCTATAATCAAGGGATTTAGTTGTAGATTTGATTGTAATCATTTGGTTAAAAACAACAAGTATAAATCTCTTAAACAATTCAAGTAATCTAGATAACATAGTATTTAGAGCTTGGTCCGATCCTCCTTGTACCTTCTCGCCACTATTCTAACATGGAGTTTTCAAAATGTTGGGAACATAATAATAGTTATTTTCTTTTCCAAGCAAGGTTCAAAATCCTAGTTTTTTGTCTTTGGAGTCAGCCGCCTTCAAGACTAATCCTAGTTTATATTTTCAGTTTAGGTTGTGTTGTGGGTGTCAAAGTCTGGTTACAAAATCATAGTCATCATACTCTCATGCGTAGCTGTCCAGTTAAATGTCCAACTTGCACACCCCTACGTGTCACGGCGACCCAATCATCAGCTTTTCTGGAGTTAAATCGGCCAGTCTCTGAAGCTCCTCTGTCAACCACTATCTCACGCACCGTTGCGCACATTTGTGCTGCCGCCAAACCTGTGCTCCCTCCAGACCTCTGATAGGATCTCTGTTTATTCTGTTAGACTCCCTTTCCTGGTTCAGTTGGGTACCGCATTTAAGATGTGTTCATGCGGTTTGTTGTTTCAAAGGTTTTTTTTTTATGGTTGGGAAGGCATCCAGGTAGCTTTTCTACAGTGTGTTGGTCTTTGGTCACAATATCTTCCGTCTGCTGTACCCATTTGCACACTGCTTTTAAAGAGTATATTTATAACAAACTTAAAGCTTGGGTAAGCCTTAGCTTATGGGAGAGTGTTAAGATATGTATTTGATTTAAATTATAGTTTTTTGAGATTTATTATGACCAACGAGTAACATTAAATAGAAATCACACAAATTAGGAATGACATCTTACACATAATTTAACGAGAAGTGCTAATAACACTTTCTTTTCAATACACCATCCAACATTCACTCTCTAATTAGGTGAAACACGAGTGGTTCCCACACCTTAGAAATGGATTCCGCATAAAGTAGTGGAACTCACATGTGTTTCATTCAATAAGAGAGAGCGTATTGAAAAGTGTGTTCCTAGCACTTCTCTAATTTAATATCAACCAATAAAATAAAATCATCAAGTACACAAAGATAAGAACTGAAATGCTCCAAGTACCTCCATCATTTCCATTAATAAAAGATAAAAGGTCATCAACTGATCGTTCATCTACATGCTCTTCTTCAACTTCAACATTCTGAAACAAGAAAGGAATCAACGTCAAAACTTATCTAAAACTTAGGGCATGTAAAATGGTGCAAGAATGCATCTGGACCTGCGTTGTCAATAGTTTGTGGTGTTTCTTTGTATGCCAACAATATTATAAAATGACATAGAATTACTCACCTGTGCTAATGTTAAACCACTGGATTTGAAATTGTAAGGGGTAAACAGGTCTTTTGACAAGGCCTGGTGCCGAAAAAACATCAATTAGATCGGAAAATCCTATCTCATTTACTCTATGATCATGCCTAGAGGCTGTAATGTTAAGAGTTTCAGCTCCATGAACCTTTACTACTATTAGTTGCCCTTTGTTAGATGTTACTTTGTTCAAATAATTTCTTTAACTCAATTTCAGTTTCACAATAAAAATATTCCAGGGTTTTTTATATCTCAGTTTCGGATATAAAAGCCGAGGCACTTAAAGCTTCATTATATTCACTGTTGCACTTTGAAGAGCTAATAAGTGCTCACTTCTGTTTATGTTGTGTTTTTTTGTTTGATTTCTGTTTTTAAAGAGTGTGTCCTACATGAACATTGTCAAGCTAGTGTTGGGTTGGTTCAACATGGCGACGCCATGCCATCTGCCATAAAACTATGGACGCTGCATCGCCATGTTGGCACCATACACCATTGGCAACACTGATCTTCACGGCTCTCATTTGCAATCGTTAAAACATAGATTATCTAATTGAGAAATGAGGATTAAATTTCATAGGACAATATATAAAATGTGCTGGAAAAAAATTCCAGTAGCACCTTTATCCTTTCACGCTCTTTAAGTTCTTTCCTCTTCTTGGCATACAAGCGATTCAAAAGCCTGATCCTTGGATCGTCAGTTATGTTTCTCAAGGGCTCCAATTTCTCTTCCTGGATCATAAGAATGCGTGAGAAATGAAAATTGAAAATCCAAGTAAACATAATCGGAATAAAGAGTTCTCACAAGCACCAGACACCTCTGTAAGATCATCAGGCAAATGAAATATGTCACGTATCTCCTCTGGTGATCTTCCTTCGATTATTCGAGCTAGTGCACGACTGGTGAGATCAACCAATGGCTTTAACTGAAGACTGTCCGCAGCAGACGTCAACTCACAGAGCCGCTCTGTGTCTATCCTGACGAATTTCTCATCATAAGACTTCCGTTCCTATATAAAAGAATAATCACCATGTCAAATAATCTGGGTATTCATTGTTCAAACTTGAGTTAACTTGTCTAGAATATAATCCATAAGATAAGAGCATTGAAATACCTTGTTTGAGCGGCCTAGTACTTGATGAAATCGGCAATAATCAAGAATTAAGCTCAACATTGCAGGACTGACTTGTTGAGGAAGACATATTGCACAATTCTTGGAAGATCCCATGCTTTTTTGTATTATTTCTTGACATATAAATGGGCAAAACATCGCAATCTCTTGTTCCACTTGTTGGATTGAATCATCGGAAGTTTGAAGCCACACATAAGGTTTCATCATCTACATACAAACAAATACCAATGTAGTGTCAGTTTCAGTGCCGAAAAAATAGCCAAAGCAAGGTCTTGATTCAGTAATAGGTAAGTTTAAAAGTAAAAATTGTCACTCCAGAATCCAAACGAGATAAGTTCACAACCATATACAACCCTGTCACAAGTTTCGAATGTTAAGAATAACACATAAAACATAGAATACACACAGTTTCAGAATCTCTGATTTCGAAAAGGGGGATTGGAATTCAACTTTGTAGGAGAAGAAAATGACGGCAAACCTTTAAACAGGCACAGATGCTTTTAAGTTCACGGCAAAACAGAACACTATTGAAATTATTCTATGCAGTGTAAATCCGATAATGTATCAAATATTACTGGAAACAACGATTCGGGAGAAATAGAATAAATTGTTTATAATTAAAGGACAAAGGGATAGGTTAACATTACCATCAAGCATTACAACTTAAACAAAATTTAACCAATGGGCTAGAATAGATAGTTTAAAAAACAAAATACATAGATTCACTTTTAGACGAAGATACCATACCTCAGGATTAATAACTGACATGTCAATTTCTGACATCTGAGAACAACTTGACTTGCAAAAAGTTTCTTTATGACGCAAGGAACTCGGTTAAAAATTTAAGTTCCAAAAAACCACTTATTTTGTCCTCCCGTCAAAGGTCTTCTGCAATCAGGATTAAACTACTCAAATGTACAATGTCCCTGAGAAAATCTGCAGTGCCGCACAAATTAAAGTCAACAATATTTCATGATGCAAGTTAAAAAGATGTGGACTACTCAAATATCAGATTGAAGAATTATTTGGCCAATGGATACGAAGTTAATAAGCGCAACAGATGCAATACAGAAATGATAACCATGGATGGCAAGCATACCTTATACCTTATTTATCACAAATTCTGGACACAACAAAGCAGTACAAAAATGCTACACTGCATAATTATTCCTGAGAAGTAAAATATATATATTGTTGTCTTTAGCCAAGGAAATATTGAGAGGGAAGGAACTATCATCAAGTTTCCTCAATTTTAATTTTAATTTTCCCACCAGACTCTGATGTATTATATATCAGTTGTTTCTCTTCGCATGCTTGGTTCTATGGTATCGAAAATCAATTTATATAATTTGATTTTGCAAAATTAACTTTGGTTAAAAGTAAGTTGAATGAAAATGATTTATGTTTAGACACTTTTACATAAAAGTGAAATGAACAATAAATTTCAAGCTAAAAATCACTTTTAGAGGCAAAAGTTCCAAATCGCAACTTCAAAACCGTTCGCAAAAATAATTCTACTCGAGAACATTGAAAAATGTCAAAATGAATTTTATGCTTCTACAATCACTTAAGCCTCTAACAAAAGTGAAACATTATGATTCCATAAATTCTACCAATCACATACAATTTCTAAACTTATTAATATTACTCTACTTTTGGGTGGAGAATCTCCCAAAATGCAACATGCTATCATAATTCTGGTGATGCATAATTCTTAATAACCAACCAAATATTAAATCAAAATCTATCTATATTTATCTTAAACTAAACTTTGTTAAAACCGAGGTTTTAAAAAACAGACCGTTACCGCAAAAATGGCCGCGACAAAACGAAGGTACCGATCTCGTTATTCACCGTTTTAGCGATGAAAAAGAAATTGTGGTTAATTCACATCGCGACAACCACAATCAGTATCGCAACACGAAAGCTTTTACACGACCGCAGAAACGGCCGCAACAAAACGGTATCGGAAGATGCCGATACCGATCCCGTTATTAACCATTTCAGCGATGAAAAAGAAATTATGGTTAATTCACACCACGATAACCACAATCAGTATCCCAACACCTGTACCGTCGCGACCGCATCGCGCCTGTTATTTAAAACCTTGGTTAAATCAAATACCCAAGAAGAAAAATCTCAAATTAGGTCTCAGAATATCCCTATCAAAATTGTTAAAATTCAATCCCTATCACTTCCTTCAACAATTCACCAAAATACAATAATAACAATACAAATCATTATTTTACCTTCTCAACAATCTTAATTCACTTCTACTCACAAGTACCAAACTAACTAGAGTCCTTAGCATTATGAAATTACATATATATTTCAAACAATACACAAATCAAATAGAATTTTATCAAAATTCCAAAACTAACTTAAACACATCACTAACCTAAAAAGATAAGTATTTTAATAATTCAATTAAAATCAAATCAATTCTTTGAAAAAAACTAAACTTTACCATTCCTAGCCTCCTAATTACCACTCAGATTTCAAGCAAGCTAAACAAAGAGAGAAAAAAAAGTAAAACAAAATTACAAAATTCAAAATTTGGAATAAGAATAAGAAAAAATCCAATTTTGATAAAAACAAAAAAGACCCACAATTCTACAACACGAACTTAGATGAATTGAAGACAGATAGAGTAAAAATTAAGAATTAAAATCAAATGTGAAAAACAAATCGGAGAGTTTTGATGAACACGTGTACCTTGAAGTGCAGAGAATGGAGTGAAAAAATCGGAGAAAGAGAAAATGAGAGTTGCAATTTTTTGTGACTGAAAATTTTTACACTCTATTGTGTATAGCTGCAATCATTTTCAATGACAACAATTGCGAATGGGAGATGAACGGGTGAGAGTGTGGTAGACGACGCCGTTTAGGATTGGAACCAGTTAGTTTGTTGGGTTTAGGCCCTTCAAAGTTAGGCCCAACTTGAAGGTTTAGAAAATTTGGGCTGGACTGTCCATTCTAAAAACAAGATTTTTAGGGGATTTCTTATTCGACCCCCACCTAAAAGAAGTGCCATTTGCAATTTTGAAAATGTCTCTCAAAAATCGGAAATATATTTCCGGTTCGCACTAAATTTTACAAAAATAGATCAAATATGGTTTCATCCTTCAAAATAAAAATATGAAATCGGAGATATACTTCTGGTTCGGTATCGGTATTATGTTTCCGATTTTTAGAGCAGGAAGGTTAATTTTTTCTACCACCTTGTCACTTCGTATATAACTGAAAGTATATTTCTGATATTATGAAAAATTCATAATGCTTAAAACAATAACTAGCATTGTCAACTTTGATCAAACTATTTCTTCTTTTTTCCACAAAACCTCTCAAAAATCCTTCCATTCTCAATATATTTTCCCCTCTAAATTTTCATTTTTGTGGTTCATCATATCAAAATGAGCTCAAGGAAGTGGAATTTAAGGTAAAGTTTATTCATTTCAATCCTCATTACTTACATTAATTTGTTTTTCATTGTGGAAAAAGGTTACGCGAAATCGGATGTATATTTTCGATTTGTAGTTGAACGTAACCGGAAATGCATTTTCGATTTCTGTCTGTGTTTAATTGACAGCAGATTCTGCCATATTTTATGTAACTGTTAATAAGTTTTATGTCTTTTATAATATTATGTATGGTGCGTCCCGATAACACTCTCAAGCCTAATGTGTCTCAAGTTGTCTCACCTCTCGCATCTCTTGTCGTAACTAAGGTGGTAGATATTCGTGAGCATTTTGAAAATGGAGAAGAGTTTGAATTACGTGAAGACATGTTGCAGTGGATTCGCATAGAGGCTACGAAACTAGGATTTGGTATTGTGATTGGAAGGTCTGATAATGGTACGGATAGAAGAAATGTATTCGTGACTTTGATATATGAAAGAAGTGGGAATTATATCAGTCGTATCCAAAAATTGAAACGCGACGACACCGGTTCAAGAAAATGTGAATGTCCATTTAGGTTGTCTGGTTATCTTTTGGCAAATAACAAATGGAGATTTAATGTGATATGTGGTTTACACAACCATAATCTAAGTCAAAAGTTATTCGGTCATTCAATTGCATATCGGTTCCTTCCGGATGAGAAGACATGTGTTTCACACATGACTTTGAACTTGGTACCGTTCAAAAACATACTTGCAAACTTGAAGCGCAAAAGATCCGGGAATACATCAAATATCAAGCAAGTTAATGATAGGCGCTATCAACCTAAATTAGTGATTAGGGGGAATAGAACCGAGATGCAACACCTCTTGAAACTTCTAGATGAAAACAATTATGTTTGTAGGCACCGACGAGGTGATGATGGGGCAACAGTAAGAGATATTTATTGAACTCATGCTGACTCCATTAAATTGTTCAATACATTTCCCACCATTGTCATAATTGATTCAACATATAAGACCAACAAGTACATACTTCTATTGTTGGAAATTGTTGGTGTTATGTCGACTGAGAAGACGTATTCTGTTGGTTTTGCATTTATAGAGTGTGAAAAGGGGGACAATTTTGCATGGGCTTTAGAGGTTTGTATGTCAATGTTGAATGATCAAGAAGATGTGCCAAAAGTCATTGTTTCGGCCAAGATACAACATTAATGAATTCGGTTGCAACGATATTTATCACTTCTTATCCATTACTTTATAGGTACCATATTACTAAAAATGTGAGAAGTCAGGTTAAACCCGCGGTGGCGACAAAATAGATTGTAGGGGAAGATGGAAAACTGGTCAAGGCGGGTGTTATTATGGAGAAAATTATGTATGCATGTAATGTCATCATAAATTCATCTATAAATGAGATATATGCAGATGTTGTCTTATAGTTCATGAGGGTTCGCTAGAAATATCCTAATATATTGAAATATGTTGAAAGCACAATACTGGATCAGGTAAAGGAGAAGATTGGTTATGCCTGGACCGATCAGGTTATGCATCTTAAAAATACAACAACAAACCGAGTTAAGTCTGCTCGTGCTTGTTTGAAGAATTAGCTGGAAAATAGCAAGGGTGATTTGATTACAGGTTGGGATTCTGTGAACCATATGATACTAAACCAGCATAACGAGATACAAATAATATTTGGTCATATTATCACAGTGTTGAAACACTGGTTCAAGGACAACACCCTATATTCTCAGTTGGTTGGTAATTTGTCTCGTGCAACTCTGAATTTTATTTTTCACGAAGCCAAACGAGCTTCTAATGTCGGTTCCGACAGCTCAAAGTGTGGTTGTACAATTGTGAAAACATTTGGTCTCCCTTGTGCTTGTGTCATATCTAAGATAAAAGTTTATTGCCATATACGTATGGATGAGGTCTCTAGTCATTAGAAGAGACTCAATTTTGAAGATGACAGTAAAATGAAAAGTTATAAATCAAGTATTTCCATCTTGACTGAATGGGAAGCGATACAAGAAAGACTTTTAAAAGCTGATGACGCCACCAAACTCCACATCAAAGAGAAGTTAAGGAAGATTGTATTCTCGAAGACCACAGACTTGAAACCACCATCTCAAACGGTAAAAACTAAAGGGGCACCTAAGAAGGTGAAACTAACATTGGGCGACAGTTCAACTACGAGGAGTCCTTCATATTTTGAACATGTTGACAAAAAATTTCTTGATTCACCTACTCAGAAATCTCGAAAAAGTGCTTTCAAAGGTGCTCGTATTAGCAAAGAGAAAGTTGAGGGGAAGAGGATCACCAGCTTATTCGTGATATTCTTATTAGAGAGTTGAGGGGCAATAAAGATTTATACACATAGGTGCTCGGGACTAAAGATAAAGTTGAAGAGATTTATAACGCTCTTGTACCTTGCGTAAGTGGAGATGCATCGGAGCATAAATGGATGCACTTCTCTGAAATGGGTCATCTCATAACAAGTGCGTATGAGAGGGTGTGTATTAATCTTACAAGATACGGATTCTCAAAGACTTTTTTCCCACTTTGCACTGCTCTAATACCAAATCCAAATGATCGTATCATATGTTTTAGGTTGGTTTCAAATCCGCGGCATGTTGTTCAAGTGTATTTGAAATCGCGATGCTCTATACCACCTATATCACCAGAGTGGGCACTTCATTTCATAATTCCATTTGAGACCTAGCCGAATCAATTCATTGAAAGGATGCAAAAATATAACAACTTGAACAACATTGAAATAGAAGAAAAAAATAGAGAAAATTCAAAAGGGGTGCCACCAATGAATTTGGTCGGCGAATATTTTTTTGGCCCATTTAAGTAGTTCGATATCATTTTATTGTAAATGTCATTTTCCAGAGGATTCCCATGGTTAATCTCACCAGAGGATTTTCCAGAAGACCTCGGAAGAAGGTAGTTCATAATCAAATCTCGGCAGTAGATTCCCCTAGTTAATCTCGGCAGATGATTTTCTAGAAGACCTCGGCAGAAGGTAATTTTATGTTGAATATCGACAGAAGATTCCTCTGGTTGGTCTCGATAGTTGATTTTCCAAAAAACCTTGGTAGAAGATAGTTCATAATAGAATCTCGGCAGTAGATTCCCCTGGTTAATCTTGGCAGATGATTTTCCAAAAGACCTCGGCAGAAGGTAGTTCACAAACGAATCTCGATAGTAGATCCCCCTGGTTAATCTCAACAGATGATTTTCCAAAAGACCTCGACATGAGGTAATTCTACGTTGAATCTTGACAAAATATTCCCCTGGTTGGTCTCGGCAGTTGATTTTCCATAAGACCTCGGTATAAGGTAGTTCACAATAGAATCTAGATAATAGATTCTCCTGGTTAATCTTGGAAGATGATTTTCCGAAAGACCTCGACAGAAGGTAGTTTCTTAACCGAATCTCGACAATAGATTTCGCATTAAGAGCCTCACATCAAGCATGACGTATACATAACCATATCAAAATATCAAGGACATTCACAACATTTGGTGCATCTAACACACAGAAACACCAAAGCGCATTTGATAAAACATAAGAGTTTATTTTGGTTAGAAAAACGTCGAAAGTGGTCCACGTCTATGTCCACACACGCGCCTATAATACAATTATCTATGACAAGTTGACAGTGTTCACCATGCTATATCAAAATTCAAGTCGACTTGGATACAACAAATAGCAACAAACAACATTGGGAAGTCAGTGACACAAAACCAATGGTTTAAAAGGATAAAACATTAAAAATTCACAACAAGCATTTGGTGCATATTTAAACATTTGGGGTATATACAAACATTTGGTGCATGTACATATAAGAAAAATTTGCGG